AATCTTTTAACAACTGCATCTGAGCTTTCGTTGGCGTAATATTGTAATCAAAAATAGAGAAATAAATACTACACTATCTATTTAAATCTATTTAAATTCCGAGTCAGAAAAAAATTGTTTTAGTTGAATTAAATTAGTGATAGGTCGAGCTGGTCAATTGAAAATACTTCACGTGAAGTAGAGGTGACATATTTGTGTGCATCGCTATGCTGGCTCTGTATCCCTAAGAAATTTAATAACGTGCATTTCGTTGGAAGCACTAATGTCAAGTAAATTAGTTGTTTGAAAGTAGAGTGGTTTTTCCATTTTAGTGAAATATATTAATGCTGATTGCCAGCGTAAAAATATTGTTTAGTGAAAATAAAGTAGAAACATTTTAGCTTTGAAATGGGAATAGATAGGAAAAAAGTGATAATGCAAATCTCGTATTACATAAAGCAAACTTTTTAAATGGAGGTATGTTGGGTTGTGATATAAAGGACACTAGCTCTAGTCACTAAATGCCTTGAGTCAGTTTCAATGCTACTTTTAGGAAAATAAAATACGTACGTAAATCAAGTGTTTCGTTATTTCTAGCAAGGACCAGTAAAGTTACTCTAGCTAACATTTGTCAGCCGCATGAATATGACGCGCTTCGATTTTATCAGCGCATTGTCAGCATACCAGCAAGATTCAGGGCTTGAGGTAGCTCTACAGGGTCAGACTAAACTTTTAGTACTACAATGGTTTGCCCATTGTTCAGTGCTCAAATGTTAATGTTAATTATATTATGGATGAAATAAGTTTTGTATGTAGACAGGGACCGGTATTCTTACTGTTCGGAAATGAAATGGCTGTTGAAACTAAGCCCAGGAAAAAAAATCCTAGGACAATATTTATTTTTGATTTTCTAAAGACATCAAGCAGAATGGGTTGGATAAAATACCAAAATATGTTTTCGTTTATGGATTTTTTAAAACTGTCTTAAAATGTTTAGTAGTTTAGATAACGTGATTTAAAAAATGGTATTACTTATTCAACAAAATGTTTAGCTAAATGGAAAATTACGATTAAAGGAATCCTCAAATTACAATAATTAGTTAAGAGAGAGGGCATGAAGTCTGTTAACAAGAAGGGTGAATCAAGATTGCCTGGACAACCTTTTTGGAGCAGAGAGAAACAACTCATGAGACGAGACTTCTCAAGCTGTTTTATGTTATGCATTCTTGCAGAGAAAACTATGAAGTGGATGTATCTGTTCTCCTACAGACATCTGTAGATTTAGCAAGTACAAGTAAATTATCAGACTGTATAAATTTAACTATTTTTGTGAAAATGTATATACTGTAGTTCAGGCGGAAAGACAAGAGGGCATAGTAAGCACACAGGTGCTATTTATAAATCTTATAAATTTTTTATACAGCATTTTTTTGGGTTTCAGATTGTTAACAAGATTGTCTATATATTTCTGGGGTCCTGCCCTGATTTAGAACACACCGCACAGCTTAATAAATATTTTTTACATAATTGTATTCCAGGTGGAGGCGCAACCGGTGTGTTTCGTATGTAACAAATTAATAATATGGTAGTATCTGATATACAGGGTGGCGCACCGAAAACGGAACAGACGCATTTACTGGCAGCTTAGTTTTTTTAAAAAAACGCTCAGACCCGTCGATTTTGTTTTCAAGGGGGACACAAGTTTGGCAAAAAATCACGTTAGCACTCGCAGCCCCCTAACCAGGGGTGACACCACCCCCAAAATCTTAAATGGAAACTGGGGTCAAGTGATACCCTATTTTAAAGGTCTTTGAATTCCCTTTATGATGATATAAAATTAATGTACTTCAGATCAGTAGTTTTGAAGATTTATTGATTTAAAGCTTAAATAAAACTAATACATCATCATTAGTGGATATCAGTACATTTAGCAGCAAAGTAATTTAAAAATGAAGAATGAATTCACCCGTTAAGCAAGTGAACGTTGAAAATGGCCACCATGACTCTCCATGCAATAATAAAGATTTTGCTCAAAACGTTGCCGCACATTTTGCAATATTTGAGGAGTAATTTGAAGGCACTCATTAACAATTCTTTGTCGCAGGTCTTCTAATGATGTTGGCTGAGTAGCATAGATTTTGCCTTTTAAATGACCCCACATAAAGAAATCCAAAGGTGATAAATCTGGCGATCTTGGGGGCCATTCAATGGCACCTCTTCTACCAATCTATCGATCTGGAAACGTCTGATCAAAATATTGTCGAACACGTAATGCATAATGTGGTGGGGCACCATCCTGTTGGAACATCAACCTATTCGCAATGAACCGGCGATCATTCTGATTTTCAATTATGGCTGTTAATGCAGTATCTATGGCGTCTTCCAGTAATTCCAAATACATTTCACCGGTCAAATTTCCAGGTAAGAAAAAAGGACCAACTAAATGATCGCCACAAATACCAGCCCAAACACTTAATTTTTGTGGCTGCTGTGTATGAACCTCATGATAAACTCTTGGATTAGAATCGGACCAATATCGGCAGTTATGACGATTTACTCCGCCATTTAAGAAAAAGGAACATTCGTCGGAAAAGCAAGTGTTAAATAGAAAATGTTCATCGTTTATAATTCGTTCACTCATATGTTCACAAAATTGTAATCGCCGATCAAAATCGTCTTCATTAAATTCTTGTACCAGGTGAATTTTATACGGATGAAAACTATGGGCCTTTAGAACACCACACACAGTCTTCAATTTGCGGGAACTTAACGTAGGGTCTACATAAACTTGCCCTAAAACTCTCACTTCTATTGCTTCGTTCCTTATGGGATTTTCAATGTTGTGTTTTTTATTGGCGAATGACCCAGTTTCCAGAAATTTAGCTACAAGTCCTAGAACATATTTTCGATGCACGTTACTGTTCTCATGTCACTCATTAAATATTTCTGCTGTTCTATTAGCGCACTGATTATTTCCGAAAAATATTTCGATAATTTCAACTCTTTCTGCTGTGGAATATACCATGGTTAATTTATGTAATAAAGCGTTACAAGTTATTTTAGCAACAAAGTTTGGTCAAATCAATCGCAAACTATGTACTAAATTCCTATTTAAAATGAGTACGAGATATTTCCTTATCTTTCTTCAAGAAATAACTTTTTTGCCACAAAAAAACCCTCCAATAGCAACAACAAAATGATAAACAAACCATGGGCGTAGTGAAGAAAAGCATTTACTTATTAAGTAAATTCTTTTAGTCAAATTTCTTCTGAAAGTAGTACAAACTAATCTGTTGTACCTATTAAAGTCTACTTTAAGCTTTAAATCAATAAATCTTCAAAACTACTGAACTGAAACTCATGTATTTTACATCATTAGAAAGGGAATTGAAAGACCTTTAAAATAAGGTATCAATCGACCCCCCTTCCATTTAAGATTCTAGGGTTGGTGTCACCCCCGCCCAGGGGGCTGCACGTGTTAACGTGATTATTTGCCAAACAAAATCGACGGGTCTTAGCGTTTTTTCAAAAAAAAAACTGAGCTGCCAGTAAATGCGTCTGTTTTGGTTTCGATGCGCTACCCTGTACATTCATATCGAACAGTCCATGGCGTGCACGTAATATACGCCGCATAAGAGCAGAAGAGTAACTGAGTTCGCAAATGACTAAATCTCAAAAACGATGACTCAAGCAATAGAAGTACTGAAGCAACTGAAGTACCTGGGAGTCCAATGATCACTAAATATCATAGATGGTGACTCATGAAGTAAAAGTATTTGGTCAACTCTTTTAGATAATTGTCTTCTCTACAATTTTTATACAAGATATTTTTATGTTATATCCTTTTAGGGAAATATGATAAAACGTTATATTTTTGACATTTCAATCCAAATGAAAGAAGGTTCCGCTCCAAAGATATCCGAGGTGTTTTGACATGTTATTCCTAATAGTGTATTTAAGATGTGTACCAATTTTCAGCTTTGTGGAAATTTTTGCAAACTTGCAATATTATTTGCTGTAATTTGTCCGGGCTATTTAGCCTTTTGTCTCAGTAGATGATTTCATCATCAAGGGAAGGAAAATTCTGAAGTTATAATGATACCCCAAGAAAGTATGCTTTCAGGCGTTATTATATGAAAGAGGAATGCAATTAACTTAAATGCATTAGAACGCTGACTGAAGAAGCTCGAGGTGTTTCACAATCACCATCATCATGAATAAGTTGAATTGCTTCCGGAAAACAATTTGAAAATGCACTCAGTTATTTTAGAGGGAACTTCTGTAGATGTATCCAGATAGCGAATAGACATGGACAAGAGAGGAAATCCTTTTCTACAATTGTCTGAAGTTGCATTATATTCCGCGCAAAGTTCTGCCCTCGACAGCCATAATGCTGTCTGATTTTGGATTGATAATGAATAGAACTGCAAAGTGAGAATTCAGTCATGAGTGTAATATAAAATCAGTATGAAATACTGCTTGGCCTAGCAGATGTCGGATAGAAACATTTGTGCTTGATAAAAATAAACGGATATTAATGAAAATGACAGAGACTTATTCGATCTTGAAGTTAGGAATTGTGGCAGCGAAATATTTCCATCTTTACCAGGCATCAGTTGTCTTCACATGACACCCATTTCTGTATAAGCGCCACGCCTAGACTATTTTTCTGATTATGTTTCCCTTTTGGTCCGTCGCGTTCGCGACAATAGATTAAGTTTCCCCCCTATGCACCTCACTGTAAGCCGAGCAAAATACACATATCGTCCCCTTTATGACATACCGGCGTATCTAACAATTTATAAATTTGTTGTTTTTGTTATACATCTTTTACTAACTATCATCAGATACGCCATTAACTAGGGAGATCAGAATAAGGATAATCGAATGAAACTTGAATGAAAATAGGTGTACATGGAGGGTAAAATATCAGGTTTACAATTTAATTAAAAATACACATTGCATGTGAAGTATTTTATTTTTGTTACAAGAAAAACAAATAAACTTAAAAATTTTTAATGGTTCTAGATAAATATAAAAAACATAAGATTTATTTTGCACCTTCACACATTATTTAAGGATCTGGAAAGCAAACAGTTCATTTATCAGAACAATCATGGTGAGGTAGGTTCCTATAATAGGTTTTAAAGTACATCTCTTTAACTACAGGGGTAGCTCCACTGCACAACGCCACCAGATCATTATATTTTTGGAGACTAATTTTGTTATGCTCCTTGTTTAAATTGCATAGTTTCATTGTGCCGATATCAGACGATATACGCTTAAGGGAAATTGAATCAAACTCTAACTGAAGGTGGCTATTTTTAAAGAAAATATTCATTGGAGAAGACCTTTAACCATGATGTCCATCACGTTAGTCCAATTCATTTTGCTGCCGCCTTCGGTTCCTCTTATACTTAAAACGCGAAGTTCTTTGGACAAAGCCTTGAAGTCGCTAAACTCGTCATAGCTCATACTAATTACTTTATAAGGATGTGTCCTGCGTGCTAAGTTTATAACTGGTTGTAATTGTGATGTTATAAAAATGTCTCCAGCACGAGATAAATCTGATGAAATGGCACTATGTGCTGAATCAGCTTCGCTTTGGCCATGGTTCGTTTCAAAGTATTTTAGAGAAATCTTTTCTATAGATTAAAATTTATGAAGTGAGTATAACATGGTGGCTATGATAGAATTTTTGTTCTATGCGTAACATCCATCAGCAAATAATTCAATGACTGCCACGTTTTGTTTCTGAATGTAGTCTTCTATAACTTTAAAAAGACAAGAAGCAATTTCTGAGGAGCCGCGCTTACTCACTGATTCATTCCAAACAAAACAGTAACATTCTTTGCTAGCTAAGTCGTAAAACGTAAAGTTGAAATTGGAAAGTCGACTCTTGTAAAAAATTGAACTCTCCTTTGATATCGGTAAATAAATTTCTTGTTGCATATCAAAAACACCACAAAGAATACTACTGTTTTGTTTAGCCTGTTCTTTAGTCATTCTTTTTTTCTCGCGTACAGTTTTCTTTTCTAAAATATGAGTATCATATCTTTGCTTCAATTCATTTTTGATTTGTTCATCACCTTGTAGGTAAGTGACACATAGAGAGCATTGCTCTTTGTTTGGACTAAAAAAGGATAAGTTTTGCCTTTTAAAAACTTTTCTATATAAAGAATAACTTGGAATTTTGGTACATCTTCAAGTTTGAGCTCCTGGAGAAACATGCCAAATATTTTTCTTAAGGAAAGATCTAGGTGAAGATATTTTCTTGTGGTTTTAGCACGACAATAGTGCGATTCGACTCTTGGAAATCTATTAATATGAGCTTCTATTTGAGAATTCATTTGCCTTTCTTGCATGTCTACCTCCTCCCAGATCTTTTTCCAAAATTCCTAGATTGCTCAATTTGGATATTGCAGTGCGACACATCCTTTTCGACACGCCCAACGTATTCAAGAAAAATGTTTTACATACCGTATAAGACTTATGTCCTACTGTGAGACAATAACTTAATGTATGACATCTACGAGAATGTTCTGTATGTGTAGTTTGTCTTTGTGTGTTTGCAACTTTTATGTGCCTCGCCAAATATTCTCGCTGTTGATGTAAATCGCCGATACCATTAAATTGTTCAAAGATTGCTCTCCTTTCTTCATCTGTGATTTGGGAGCACAGGAGTTTTTTCTGACATACTGCTGAAGTACAACAACCTTTCTAGAGTATGGACTTACATACTCATGTCCTGAAATATAAAGAAAGACAACTCAAACATCTACAAATTTTAAAAGAAATATTATTATTCGTAAAACATAAATAGATGGAGATAATACATAACTACAAATCACCTCGTTGAAAATTGTAAAAAAATAACCATTACAATCGTGCAATTAATATTTAGTGAAGGCTACCTTACGCAGATTTCTTTGAAGCTTTGCAATTCGCTTCTTATTTGTTCTAATGTTGCTAGGTATAGATTCCTCGCTCTCTGGCCCATCTAACTCGAAGGATTCTGGTGCCAGCAGAGTAGCCATTGCTTGTATTTCTTTTGTTTTTCCATGATCACGACAATTTTTTATGTCTTCATGAAGGTGTGAAAAGCAAACTAAGATTTCACATCGAGGGCAGGCAGCAAATATTTCCTCTTTACATAACTTTACCTCACACGTACCGAAAGAAGGATCAGCATCTGAGTCGTATTCTGGAGTATCATTTTCACTCATTTCATAATCGTTTTGTGGTAAAACGTTGACCACTTGATCTGATATGCCATCGTTGCCTACCATTGGTTCCTGCAGAACATCTCTGAAACGGGCCAGTGGTCTATCGTCGTCAGATTCGGAATCATGTGCATCACAGTACATTTCTTTATACTTTGACAATAGTATTTCGTCTTCCGATACGTATGATTCACTTGGCTCTTCTATCGCTATAACCTTGCCTTGCTCTTCTATCGCTATAACCTTGCCCATATACCACTGGTTTTCGTACAGCATTTTGACTGTACCTCCAAGCCTAGCTCACTTTTATGTGTTTTTAAGTCTTTAGAACACACGACATTTTTCGTGCCATCGCTCCACAACACAAGTACATCCATTTTTTATACAAAACACTTATTTGTTCACAGATCAAAGCAAACATCAGAATCATACAACCACGTGTAAGCTTGTATTTTGAGGTTATGTGTATCATGCGGTTATAGTGCTAATAAGGCTGATTTGTAGATACGCCACAAATTTTTAAATCTCTTTGGACCTCGGCATATATGACAAAGCGACGTATGTGTTCTTACGCCTGTATGTCATATATTAATTAGCATTTTTTCAGATACGTCAAATGATTAATCGGGTTTTTTGATAAATATAGCAAGAATACAGATATGTTGATTTGTCATATGAAACACGTACAAAAATTATACTATTTGACGGCGTAACTCAATTTTCGACTTTTTGACACATACGCCGGTATGTCGTAAAGGGGACGATATGTAGGATACGAAGAGAGATTATAATGATAGAATAACATATATCGTCGGACATCTGACAATACTTGCTATCTGACATTTTTGCCCAATTTGAGGTATATGCCAATTTTTTTCGTCTACCTACAGCGCACATTGTGATAGAGTCCGCTAACTGCAGAAAAATTTAGTTTTTGAATTATTCAGCCAAAACAATACCTACCACTGGCAACACGTCTGTCAATGAGTGGCAATTCCGACTATCTGACAATTACGCGTGCTATTTTTCTTAACTTTGCAATGAAACACGACGTTGTAATTTCTCAGGAGTATCTCTCCAAAGGACACACCCAAATTGAATGTGACTCTGTTCACAGTTGCATTTAAAGAAAACTGAGTAATAAAGTTATTGAATTACCAAATGACTATGTTAAGCTAGGACAAAACCAGAGTCATATGAGGTGATCCAATTGACTTACGACTTCTTCAAGGACTACTCTCGAACAGAGGTGCAGCGATACTCAACAATTAGACCACCCAGGGACAATGTAGTCACGGACATCAAAGTACTATGTTATTAAAATTACGGTTCCTGCATATACATAGGAGGTATTGTCAGCTGTCAGACGATATGTTCTAAAAGTTTTGGCACAAAATTCGTTGGTTTTAATTTTAACAAACACAAAATATTACCACCAAGTGTGTCTTTGGAAACAAAAGTTTGTTTACTTTGTTTACTATCAGTTGACAAAAAGTATCTATAGTATATATTGTTGGGCGGGTACCGAAAGCAGAAATCTGTCGAATATTCCAGAATGAAAACATTTCAGGCAGAACCATTTATCGAAAAATTGCAGAATGCGAGCAGGGAATACCATGTCTAAATCTCCAAAAAAGTGGAAAACCACGTGCACAGAGGTCAGAGAGATTGGTGAAAAGAGCAAAAAATCATATTGGAATGTCAATAAGGAGATTGGCTCTACGCGCAATACGGCGGCCACACCATTTTGTGCAGCATCAGGTGGTTCACGATGTAATTTAAACTTTCGTTCTAAATATTTTTAATCCGTCTTAATTTGTTCCTGACATACAGCTGTGTGTATTTTATATTAATTTCGACGAATGTACCATGTATCCAGCTATCACCAAGTTACTGGGTGTTTCCCTCAACTTAAACGTGAATAACATTAGCAACACTCTAACATACTCCTGATGAAGATGGCAAAGTCCATTGAAAGCTAGAGACTAATAAAGTATAAATAGTCCTCATTGCTTGAATTTTGTCGAAGTACCCAACAAAAGGCGGAAGCTTTATTTTTCACCTAACTGGTCTTGACGACAATGACCACGTCTCAAGTTATATATATAACTCAAATATCTTTCTTCAACGAAAACGTTTTTAAAAAAGATTTATTTTTGAGAAAAACCAAATACAATGATGTTAATTGAATGAGTTCTGAATCGAGACTGACTGCAAAGTTCATTATACAAACCAAAGTAAAGAACAAATGAAATACAATACTGAAACTAAGAAAGGAACGTGGAGGCAAAAGTCCTTGTTCAGCATCTTCTTCTCTATAGACTGGTACATAACTTATATATATATATATATCTTCTTAATACTGGTCACATAAAAGGTAATAAAAATCCAGTTCTTCCACCACTGCATTTCTTTCATGTCATCGGCTATCGAAGAGAAATGAGATGAAAGATTATAATAAACCATTAAAGTTCGGGAATATCGTAACGTATAATATGGTAGACTGATTACTAATCGATATTGTTTCCTTGAAAGAACTAATCATCCGAATTTAACGAGCAAATGAGCACAAAGAGAGAATTGTAGGCCAGAATGCTTTAGATAGCTGCATCTTTCTATTGGAAAAATATTGTATGCTAATTAGGTCGCCTGTGATAAACGGCGTGTTGGAGCGGGTCATTAAGTTATTGTCCATGTTAACGACAAAAGGCAATGGGCGTTTTGATATCCTCATCAGCAGCCATTAATTAATGATACGCCGTTGGTAGTATTTCTCTAAAATTATAATGACAAATATTGTCACTATCAATGTCGTTGTAAATGTGAAGTTCCACCTTTTACTTCAGATCCGTTTTGGTTTTCCTCTTAGACTTCTCCTTTCATTGCTGATTTTTTTTTTACCTTAATGACTGATTTTCAAAAAAGATGTGGATAGGGATTGAGCATTTTTCGCGCACCTGGAAATTTCTAATCGAACTGAAAATGTCAGGTCTTTTGTGAAAATTATTTATTTTTCGTAAAGAAAACACCAAAAACATGAATTGTTGAAGGTACCAAAATATTTAAAAAAAAATGTATTCAATTATTTAGATGGAGGGAAAGTTCTGCTAATTTTGGAGCAAAAAGTTAACCGGGTCGATTATTAGCCCTCCAAGACACTGAAATAGCGCAAAACCAATGTGAATCGGTAAGCTAACCAGAGAATTACAGTTTCCATTTTGTGTTCAGAAAGTGTGTCACCAGAGGCTTCTTCTGCACTGCAATAAACAATTTATCTAACAACGTATAGTACTTTTTCTAAGTTTATTATCCAACTCATCATCTTTCGCAGGATGAAATTGGGTTTCTCACCGGGAGTGAGGATGTGGAGAAAAAAAATTAAATTCAGCAGTATTGGTTGGAAAGTAATGCAATTATTACCCTCCTTGGACCTAGCATCAGTTTTCACTTGTTCATCGCGACAATTTTGATAAACCAATGAAAACTATTCGGATTCACCTTTTTATACATAATACTCTGGAATTTTAGTCATGGCTTATATAATATGGACCATATAGAATGTTTAAGTCTGGAAACTGAACTGTTCACTTTAAGATCCGTTTTCTAACTCAATGATCTTTTCTCGCATTCGTTCTCCCGGAGAAACTGCTTTGTTTTCAATAACATAGACTGAGTAACTATATTCTTATACGAGTACGCAACACATGCCGCAAAGCCTCAAACGAGGAATTCCATATCTTGTCACATACTGAACTAGAAAATGTATTCCACACAGGGTGCTCCATTAAGAAGCTTATAGGACCTGTAGCCCACATTTTCATTACAATTCATCAATCGCCGTTTATCTTGAATGGATTTCTAGTTTCTTCTCTGATAATGACATTATTATGAATGTTTGAGTCCGTACCACTAAACATGCGTTTAATACCTATGTAACGGTTTCACCGTCCGATCGTATTTATTAAATCACTTCTCGATTATCATTTCAGAATCGCAAATCATTAATCCCATCTCTAGCTTTTTGCTTGGAAAATTTTCCGCTTGGAGCGCTTGATGCGGAGTTCCTGATCTGCGATCTTCCACGCGCTTCCTTTTCACTTGAGCCGCCGATCGAACAAGAGCTAAGAATTTTCTTCTCTGTAGCACAAGGTCATATAGCACCATGTGCTAGAATTTTGTAGAATGTGTGTCCGTATAGGACAAAATGGTGAGTTTTATAATACTATACAGTTTTACTGCTGGATCTGCCTGTAGTTTATAGATAATCGATATGTATGTGGTTTATTTCTTGTACGATTTTAAAATATCCATCGAACGTCATTTTCGACTACTTCGATCATTCGCCATAACTTTAATCAAATCGAGGTGGAAATATATTCATAGTTCAGTGAAATTATAAGTACGTTGATTATGAATATTCGATATTTGTGTTTTTATATCAGAAGCATGTGGCGAAATTTTTGATGACCACCATCTTGTTTTACGCTTTTTTTGCTATTTCATGATTTTATTTTATGAAAGGCAT